CCCTCCCCTCCCCTTCCCTCCCTCCCACGCCTCCGAATTTCCCGCCACAACAATACGTCGTTTTGAAAGTAATATCAACCATTAACTGTTCGTTCGTTGACCCAGTGTTCTTTTGTCGTTTTTGTTTTGCTTTTTTTGTTTTTTTGCTTCTTGTTTTTCTCGACATTAAACTTGAGTAAAATATAAACCAAAACATTTCTTCGTGGCTTATTTTCTTATCTATCAATTACATTTTTTTTTTTTTTTACTTTTGTTGTCGTTGATGTTTTTTCTTGGCTTTAAACTTTCGTTTTTTTTTTATTTCGATCTTAAACTTAAACATAATATAAACTATCGCATCATTTCTTCGAGGCTTTTTTCTTATATCAACTATTTCATTTCTTTTTCTTTTTTCGAGACAAAATATAAAAAAAATATCACAACTCTAAAACATAAACAAAGCATATATAAACCGTCACATAATTCTCTTTTTTCTTCTTTTTCTCGAGACAAATAAAAAAACGCAATATATTACAACTACGGAAGTTCTGGTTTAAATAATCCCGTAATGAAGAACAATAGAACTATTCTCCATTTTTTTGTGAAATCTTTGTTCTACCTTATTATTCTTTATGACGAAATTGTTACCTTATGAAATGGCATGTAATAACTTCACCTGCTTGCCTCTGACTTTCGTCTATAACTAGTTTTTTTACATAAATGTTATTTTCTCTCTTCATTTCTTTTCTAATCTGATTCTGTGAAGGCATGTTCATGTACGTTTTCTATTCCACTTTTAAAACATCACGGAAATGTCGATGATTAAAAAGCTAAATCGTTGCTCGTCAATTTTTCATTGAAATTTCTCACAAAAAGAAAAAATGTTGCAGCCATAAACTGTTCTCCGATATTTCACGAACAACATTTTTGCCCAAAAATACGATAATGATTCGAAATGAAACGCAAGCAATTAGAAAGATTGTAAAACTGGAAACGACCAGATATGAAAATGGTGTATTTAATTTTATTTTTCAAGGCTTTCAGGATTGACAAGAATACTTTCCGTTCGAGTGATTTTTGCGTTTCCCTTTTTTGGGGGGGATGGGGNCACACAACACACACACACACACACACACACACACAACATATATATATATATATAATATATATATATATATATATATATATATTATATATATATTCTCATTCTCTCTCTCTCTCTTGCTCTCTCTCACACTCTCTTTCTCACTCTCACTCTCTAACCACACACACTTACACAACACACACACACACACACACAATAATATATATATATATATATATATAATATATATATATTATTATATATATATATATATATATATATATATATATATATATATATATATACCGGAAGGAAAAGACAAGAATAAGATTTGCAGTGCTCACTTGTCGTATCAAATGCGAGGTGCCCTGTGAGCCTCGTCAGAAATCCGCTTCGGGTTCTCTGTCTTGTGTGTGTTCTTTCCTCCTCGTCCTCACTGCCCGCGCCAATTCTCCTTTCTCCGTCCTAGCTCCGTCACCCAGCCTCTTATGACGGGGTTAGGCGGGAGAAAATAGAAAGCGAGGAGAGGATACCTAGTTTTTTTCCGAGTTTCTCATGTACTATGTTGATTTTAGGTCTTTGGGGAAAGAGGCATCACTTCGAAGTCATGCGATGTTGCCAGAGAGAGAAGTTACTTCCAAGGGACAGAGTTTTTCTCTACTTCGTCCTCGGGGAATGAAAATGTGTCGTCACATGAACAAGTCTCAACACAGCAGTGGAAGATTCTTTAATAAGCTACAGAAATAACAGAAGTCACACACATGAATAAGATCACAATGCCAGTTTCTGCTCCCAGCCCTAGCGCTTCAGAACCTCAGGGGTATCGATTGCCTCTTGTCCGCATTTGCCACAGCTGATTCCAGTTCAGCCTCGCGTGCAGCGCCGCCGTCGTCTCGGTTTTCGTTGTCCTCGGCGGCAGAAGCGGGGGAGAGCAGGCCAGGCGACAGCACGTAGGAATGCATGTAAGAATGGCTTGTATTTTAAAAAAGGATTCTTTGACACATCGGGATGAAGGTAAAGAACAGAGAATGTATGTGTATATATATTTGATAGGCCTCAGGAATTAACTTGTGGAACAAAGGTGGTTCCAAGTGCTCACTAGAGGCTATGCGAAACAGCTTCCTCTCTCGTCCATGCTTGCGGAGGCATTTTCAAGAAAGGAAATTCATGGTCCTGTCCTTCATCGGACTGCTTTTCTGCCCAGGCACTAAAGGGTTGTTTCTCGTCTGCCTCGACGCTAGATCTCTTCCCTGCCCAGGCGCTGAAGTCCCTCTTTCCGGCCCAGGGACTGAAGGCCTGTCGCTTTTCATCGTCGGGGGAGCGTTTTCCTGCCCAAGGGCTGAAGGCCTGCCGTTTCTCTTCATCGAAGGCCCTCTTTCCCGCCCAGGGGCTGAAGGCTTGTCTCTTCTCGTCATCAGAAGCCCTCTTCCCCGCCCAGGGGCTGAAGGCTTGTCTCTTCTCGTCATCAGAAGCCCTCTTCCCCGCCCAGGGGCTGAAGGCCTGTCTCTTCTCGTCGTCAGGGGCCCTCTTCCCCGCCCAGGGGCTGAAGGCCTGTCTCTTCTCGTCGTCAGAGGCCCTCTTCCCCGCCCAGGGGCTGAAGGCCTGTCTCTTCTCATCCTCCGAAGCCCGCTTCCCTGCCCAGGCGCTGAAGTCCCTCTTTCCAGCCCAGGGACTGAAGGCTTGTCTTTTTGATTCCTCGTCCGCCCTTTTCCCAGCCCATGGGCTAAAGGCTTGACGCTTTTCCTCATCAAAAGCTCTTTTGCCAGCCCAGGCGCTGAAAGCTTGTCTTTTTTCGTCGTCAGAGGCGCGTTTCCCTGCCCAGGCACTAAAAGCTTGTCTTTTTTCGTCTTCAAAGGCTCTCTTTCCGGCCCAGGGACTGAAGGCTTGCCTCTTTTCATCGTCGGAGGATCTCTTGCCTGCCCAGGCGCTGAAGGCTTGTCTCTTTTCGTCGTCAGAACTCCGTTTTCCTGCCCAAGGGCTGAAGGCTTGTCGTTTAACGTCCTCCCCGTCCGCTCTCTTCCCCGCCCATGCGCTGAACGCCCTTCTCTCCAGCAGCGCGGGCGTTGGGGCGTTCCATTTGGTGGCTGCGTTATTGAGAGATTGCGTGTCTCTGGCGTTCCTGGTGGCATTCTTGTCGTGGATCGCCTCACCCATGGCTTCGGCAGGAGTGGCTCCGCCGTCGTCCTCGGCCATTCTCTTGAACCGTCCGGGGGCGTCGTACACAGTGGCTGAAGAGGGGAAAATGTCGCCCTCAGTGTCTTCGTCACCGTCTAGGAGCATCTCCGGAGCGTCCAGAGCCAGAGCATCTCCCTGTCCGCCCAAAGCGGCTCGAACAGAACGCTTCCCTCCCCACGGCGAGAAGGCCACGCGTTTCCCCGTCGCCCCCAGGGACTCCTCCGGCTGCGCCGAAGAGCCCATGTCGAAGTCATTGAGTGCGAGTCCTGCAGGAGCGGACCGCTTCCCTCCCCATGGGCTAAAGGCAGGCCTTTCGGGGTCCCTCGGGGTGTCTCGAATGGGGAGCGTGTTAGGGTGAAGTAATGGGAGCTGGCGCGTTTTCCGCCCCAGGGGCTGAAGGAGGCTCGTTTCAGCTCCCCGTCGGAGGAGGGCAGATATCTGGTCAGGAGGAGAGGTAGAGGTTAGCTTCGGCCGTACATTGAGATCATATTTCATATCCTAATTCTAAGTATATTATTTTCTTTTGCTAACATGAAAAAATCTATTGAATATCTTTACCTAGTCCCAAGATTTCAATCTTATTTTTTTGTTCTGTTACATTTTCCTTAGAGACCGAGCTTTTTGATAAGCATTTTGATAACATGAAAAAATATATTGGATATCTTTATCTAGTTCTAAGATATATTCTTTTTGTTACATTTTATTTCCACAGACCGAGCTTTTTGATAAGCGCTTTGCTAACAGTGACTCTTCTTGCCCTTAGATGCCCGCTGTATGAAAAAAAAAAAAAAAATCTTCCCGTTTAGATTTTTGGTAATTGATGCTGATTATGCCTCATACACTATGTATATTAGCATGTTATGCATTGCGCTTTCGGAGTTTCTGATCCAAACGAACACTACATTAGATGTTAAGAAACAAATCCGAAGTGTTGCCTAAGGGCTGAATACTTAGATACAATCTAAAACAACGTTACTCGTGTTATCTGATGCGACGGACCTGCATTTTTGTGCCAGGAGCTGATAAGATTAAGCGTATTACGTCTTGTTTGCGATCCTGAGGCCGTTCTTTGTACATTCGTTTTAATATCCATCTCGACCAGTTTTTGCGTTGTTTTCTCGTCTTTGAATAAGGCTAATGTGCGATTGTTAATCTCCTTTTGGAAAGCCTGTGGCTCGCTTACTCTGACGCACTGAACTAAGTTACAGACATTCTGTTCAGGCGTTTAGAGACCTGCGCTTCTCACTGTTTGTACTTCGGAAAGGGTAAGAAGCCTAATTTATTCCTCTGATAATGACGTTGCAGTGTTTCTTTTTTTTATTCAGAAAAGAACTCATGTGGTGCAGTGTTTGAATTACTCGTATTCAAATTATACTGACTTGGACACTTTCCGCTCAGTGTAAACCGCTTAATACGGAGAGAGTGACGCCATTGCGATAACATTTTATTCATATAAAAACGGGAATAACCTTTGTTATTGAAGCCGGAATAAGAAGACGGGATACGGCGTTGAGGAGCCGTGAGAAGCCGCGGTGTCCGAGACGGAGGAAAGGGCGAGCGTTTTGGGACAGTTGTTACCGGTCGTTAGGGTGAATTGCTCCTCTGAAGTGTGAAATGAACCAACTAAATTAGGCAAACGTCAATTTGATCAGTTCCTCAAAATTATGAGATTCCAACCTATAGCTCGTTTGATTTCAATTAATAGGCGGCCTGTCGTCGCAGAGTCCTCCATTCCGGGCTCACAGACTGTTTTTATCAAGATTGCTAACGACTATTGCCAGGAGCGCGTGCCGTAGATGGCCCTTTGTTGCTCGTCTGTTCGACAGGATTCGAGTGAGGTTGCGGCCGCTCGCCTCGCCTGATGTTGTGATAAACACTTTGCGTCCCGGAAACACGGGCCTTGTTTTCGAACCTGCCTTAGCTCTGACCTTTATCCCTTTCTCGGGCAACTGACCATATATGATCACTTGAATACATGTATATATATGAGGTATTTAAAATGTGTGCCCGGGAAAAGGGTTATGTTAGTATGTTTAAAATAGTCTTTATTACCCGTCATTGCTGTACCTTGCTTGCTTGAACAGGTGAAGGTAAATGTCCCTCAGGCTGAGCGGGAGGCCCGAGCCGGAGCGCAGGGCCGGGTGCCAGCTGGCCCGCTTCCCCCCCCACGCGCTGAACGACTGCCGCTTGCTCGGCTCGGCTCTGCGGGGGGACGGGGTCAGGGGTCAGGGGCGGCCATGCTGATATGGTTATTTTTTCTGTTGTGCTATCATTATTATTCTTATCAACGGCAGCATTATCATGTTCGCTTTTGCAGCTGCATGAATATATGTATGTATGCACTATCGAGCATGCGTGAATATGTTCAGAGATATACACGTATGTGTACATACAATATCACACGCAGGGATATATAGACAGATAGACAGCTCTAGAGAAACGCACCTTGGCTCGGGAATGCTGAAGAAGACGGGGAACCTCGCCGCTTCTTCCTGGAGGAGTGGCAAGGTGAGGTCACGCTGCGAAGCCACGCCCTCCGCCACGCCCACCAGGACTAGTGCGCACGCCCATGCGCGCCAACACCTCTCCACCATAACCGTCTGGAAACAGAGTCGAGGTTATATGCGTATATACAAAATGAACGTTACTCTTATGGAATTATTAGTGCGTATTATTACCCACTGCACAGTTACTAAATTTGCGCATATTCAAAGGTAATGTTATGTGTACATGTACAATATTCATACTATATACATAGGGAGTTGCAGTATAATTGTTTGCACGATGGACGAACTCAACACAAAACGGAATCTCTCGCAGTGAATTGCTCTTGCAATCGCAGTCTGAATCGCCGTCGGATTCGCAAGGTGTCTTGTTGTCTGTTGGTCCCCGATACTCCATTCGGGCCTAAATCGTTGTTATCAGCATTATTCCCATCTCTGTAATTATTTCTGTAGCTAAGTGGTCATTCGTGAGGAATTTGGAATGTGTACACAAAGCGATATATTTTAAACTGAGTGGCCCAAAGCGTTAAAAAAAGTTTAGAGAGGTATTGGTAACTGTGAACGAGTTGCCATGTAGTCGCTTTCTGCACACCGCTATTCTGTATTCAGATATGACGGAATTCACATTTGATAAGACTTGATGTAGATAATTGCTGTTGATTTTTGTTTCTTTATATGCGACTCTCTTATTCTGTTTGTTTACTTGTTTGTTCAGGGAGGCGGAAAATGGTTTGTCATTCTTATTTTTGAAGTCATTTATTATACATGTGTATTTTGAAGTTAGCAATGAAGTCTGTCTTCTTTAATGCTTTATGTGGATTATATTTTTAACAATTAGATCTAGAAGGCTGAGGAAAGCAACCGACGAATAGAATAAATTTAAAAACTGATAACCAACTACTTCAAACGCGTCCATATTCACTCAAGAGTTTCGCATTTGTTTTTCCTCGCAAGGGATAAATATTTTCCCCCTTATGTCAAAGCTTCTGTCTTCTTTGATGTGTGATATTCACGAAAAAAAAATAAAAAAAAAGAGATATGCCGCAAAGAATAAGGAACGTTGGCTGAGTGAACAAAAGTAAGAGCCGAGTTTTGAAAATACGATATGAAACGCAAAAGTGAGTTTGGTCTCGCGGCCTCTCGACTCTTTGTTTACTTTGTGGCGATGCGGGTTACCTCGGGCCGTTAAAAGCTTGTGTTTGTTGTGGAAATGAAGGTAATTATATTTTTCTTTCCTTAAGAATCCGCATAAGTGCAATTTATAATAATGTGCATAAAATCTCTTAAAGATTTTTCGTTTTAAAATAGTGAAAGATGCCGCGTAATGATATCAGGTATGTCGGTATGTCGATATGTGTGCCTTGGGATTGCCCATTAGGAATTTTGTTTATGGTTACGTAATCGCTTCCGTTATTATTTCTCTTTCCCATCATTGTATCTTCAGGCATAAATGTGCTTTTGCGTGTATGCCTGCGTGAGCGTATTAATGTGTTTATTGATGGCTCTCAGGGAAGAGAGTATGTTGACTTGCTTGTACGCTGGAACTATTCTAAAGTATTAATCTGCATGGATAAGCATATTGCGTGTGTGCTTAATTGCTTTGCTTGTGTTTGAAAGGGAGAAGGAGGGTATGTGCGTGTTTGTGCCTATATTTATGTATTTAATAATACACAGATAAAGATGTTTTAATATAAAACGAAATATGTAACAAGAAAGGAGAATTATTTTTTTTTTAAATATCAAGTAGAAGTATATTAGCCCTAAAAGAGAAGAATAAGAACAGCGGAAAATAAACGAGACAAAATGCGTGGCGGAGAGGAAAGGAAACAGATAGATAGGATAAAATTTAATAATGTAAGATGGGCCTGTAATGGAATTTTCAAAATGGACGCCCCAGCAGAGGCAGCGCCACAAGTGCACTATCTGCCATCATATTCGTCGCTTTCATTATCGTTAAAGATTGTGAATATTTAATCAAGTGTGACTTCATCCTTTTGGTTCTTTGTAAAAACGGAAGGAAAGGGGTTGAGAGTTAGAGTATGTTATTATTTTATACAATTCTTTAAGTTTAATTCATTTGATAAGCAGACATTATGTAATCAAACCCTAGTGTGTTAAATGCATGTAAAGATTCAGATATTACGATCTGTTCTGTGTTACATGAAATAACGGTGATACAAAGGATGAATCAGTGACGTAAAATTGTATCCTCAAATAATTAAAGTAATATTGTTAGTCTGATTTAATAAAATTTCGGATATAAAATGACGTCGCTCCACTCTTCGTATATTACTGAGGTGTTTTTGAAAAGATATTGGATTGGATAACTCGGAATTAGATTTAGGGTACAGATATGCGGTTACAGCATACGAAGGTATGTGGAATCATATCTCTCTATCTCTCCTTTCTCATTTCTCTCTCCTCTGCTCTCTCTCTCTCTCTCTTTCTTTCCTCTCTCTCTCTCTCTCTCTCTCTCTCTCTCTCTCTCTCTCTCTCTCTCTCTCTCTCTCTCTCTCTCTTCTCTCTCTCTCCTCTCTCTCTCCTCTTCTCTCTCTCCTCGCTCTCTCTCTCTTCTCTCCTCTCCTCTCCTCTCCTCT